CCAAACGTTCAGCCTGGTAGAGGACGAGATACATCATTCTATAGAGGACCGCCTTTTGAAAGGCAGTTCAGACCAACAGATGTTGGAAGAACATTTAGGCCGCAACCTCACCGGCCAAATGTATGGCATTCATTCCAGTACACTGCAGGAAGAGCAATACCCTTCGATGAGATGACCAGGACTCAACAAAGGCGTTTCCAGCGAAACTACGGACGGATGATGAGGCAGCAACAAGAAATGTCACACCCTAAAGCACCTCTACTACTCAAGGTAGCCAATCAAAACGTCCTAAAGGGTAATAAAGAAACCGGTACAGATGAATCAATGAAAGAACTGCCAGAGACCTCTTCTGGGAGATCAAGGTTTGAGAGAGACAAAAGGGATGAAGAAGATCCAGATGAGCCCCTTGCTATCCAATTCGGTACGTTGCCTCCTGTCATGGCCAATAATTACCTACTGGCCAATGAGTTCAAAAATAAGGAAAAAGAAGAAGAGAGGGAGGACAACGAAGAAGAAGCCTGCGTGCTGGTGTGTGAAGAAGGCCAGACTTCTGGAGAGGCCTACAACGATGAAGAGGACGATGGGATGACAGACATTAAAGAAGAAAATGATCTAGAAGCAGAAAGGAAAAAGAGAGGAGTATCACGCAATACACTGTTTAAGCAACTACATCAAGAGGGAGTCCGCGAAGTAGACTTATTGGGGGAGCCATCTGGGCGTCCTTTCGATTTCTACGTACTGTACGGGACACCCAAAAGGAAGAAGAGAGTGCCTCGCTCTGAGAAGTATGGGTCACCTCCAAAAATAATGCCTCCTCCCACAGGTTGGATAACTGATGAGGAAGCATTAGAAAAAAGCAAGAAGGAGATACAGGAGACAGAGGATCAGCGTGACATACTACACGTCGACCTATCACAAGGGGATAATTCGACAGAAAACAAGCAAGAGGTAGAAATAGAGGCTGCCGAAAAGGTTGTTTTTAAACGGCCAGCCATGAAGTTGACAAAACACCTGAGGCCATTATACGTTAAAGCTCTAGTTAACGGCGTCCCAGTGGCAAAAGTGCTTGTCGACAATGGAGCAGCTATAAACACCATTCCATCCAGAATGATGAGAAAGCTCGCAAA